AAATGTAAAGAACAAAGCCGACTATTTGGATCAATAATCTTTTTTTGCAATTTTATAATCTCTAACCATTTTGCTCTTTTTTCTGGATTGTTGAGAAATCTATGACAAGCGACCTATTATAATTTTTTACTTATGTATTTTTTACTTTGATATGATAACAGAGAAAAATAAAGATTTTGTATTTTTTAAATTAAATTTACGTTAATATTTAATACATAATTAATAAATAATACTTATTTATATAAAGATTATGCGTTTCGCGGGTTTCTTCCGTATCCAGATCCATTCTTGGAATGCCAACATTTCATGAATCTTGCAGTTCACGGCAAGGAGCAGCCTGATACTGAACTGTTCTTTGGGGATCGTTCCCCTTTTTATATATTACGCTACTTGTTGGAGTGGTGGAGGGAAAGAAGAGAATTGTGGGTGGGAGATAGAGGGAGGAGTGAGAGAAAGTCAGTCCTCATTAACCGGGAGAATAGTTTTCCATATTTTATTTATGTTGTAGTCACTATTTTTATTTAGATCGTTAGGATATTTTTGTATCTCTATGGTATCTCTATATTTTCTTGGAAAGTATGATGTTGGTTATTGTCGTTTTGTCAAACAATATTTGATATTCTGTTTCGATGTTGTATTCTGATTGACGTGTTTTAATCTGACGTCACGTTGGTGTTCTATCCGTAGGTTGACCTTTCTCCCAGTTTCTCCAATGTATACTTGTTCGCAGGAACAAGGTATTTTGTATACTCCTGCGGAGCTGGATGGAGGTCTTTGATCTTTAGGATTTCTTAAGATTTGTCCTACCTTTTGGGTGGTTTAAAGATCATTAGAACAAGCAGACAATATCCGCAGACAGGTAAGTATCCTTTCCAAAGCCAAATCCCCTCTAAACATCACTAGACAAGAGCGATTGGTCCTCCAAAACCTGAACACATCATCGTACTTCCAGCTGATAAAGACAACACGACAGTCATGAACACATCAGACTATAAGAAAAATAATAAAGAACCTTCTCTCGGACAAAGCATACAAAAAGCTTGATAAAGATCCAACTAATACAATCGCGCAGAACACTAAGATCCTGGAAGAAAAAAGTTTTTGTGAGTGGTGGTGTGACTCTGCATATAGGTATCTATTTGTGTGTGTTGATTTTTTGTACACTTAATGACCTAAGGTACCGTCAGCTTTTTTAGAGATAAGAACATCTAAGAGGAATTTTCCGTTTTCCTCTGTTTATAGTGAAATGGATATTTGGATGTTGAAGAAAATTTACAGAGTTCGGCTTTATCGTGTCTCCATATCATGAATGTGTCATATACATAACAGAACCTACAAACTTCTGGTTTTTGAGTGTTTTTCTGAGGGCCTCTTTCTCAAAATGCTCTATGAAGATGTTGGCGATTACAAAGAAAAATAGGAGAGCCCATTGTCGCTTCTGAAGTTTGTTCATAAAATTGATATTATGTCTACTTTTTTTTATTTGTGTTGCTTTTGCAACCTACTGTACTACACATCATGGGCATTTTTGTATAATATTGTTATGCGTAAACATGACGTCAATTATAGATTATTAAATTCGCCAAATACTTGGTTCAGACAGGTTAGAGATCATATGCCTAGTATAGAATAATGCAAAGAGTAATAAAGTACAAAATGCCATATTACTGTGGCCAACCAATCGCATATAACGTAGTTATCCTCACCACCTGAAAGACCATACACTTCCTCCTGTTATTTCTTACCTCCATGATTACATATAAAAATGATTTGTATACAAATGCAAAGAACAATATAGTGACGCGAATTTATTCCTGCTAGTAGTAACACTCCTGCTAGTAGTAACAGTAGTATAGTAATACTAGTATGTTTTTATACAGATTCTTTTTCAAATTGAAAGCGCTTGAAGATAAAGATAGAATGATTACAAGCACTTAAAGAGCGCGTGATCATCCATAATGAACACAGCTATATTAATTTATGTTTATATTGTGATAAAGACATCGGCCGATGATTTCCATATTAAACAACCATATTAAATATTAGTTCTTTATTTCCTGTGTTATAGCTATGAGGTCGTCACAAATGCTGGTTATGCTCGGAACAAGAGGGGTAGCCCTGAATCTGATGATGCTTGAAGGTACATTTTCACGTGCTCTTAATAAACAATTGGAGAGATAGATTTATCGCTCGTTATTCAGCAGCTAAAATTTTGTAATTTGAACAATTTCAACTACAAACGCTTAAACGCTATTGACAGTGCTGACATACTGTGAGTGCGTTCGGAGAAACACTATTCGTGCTATGGACGCAAACGCTACCAATGCTGTTCTTGGAGCCAGTAGCGCGAAAGCGTTAGCAAGCTTCATAAACGATCCTAGCGTAGCGTTTAACTAGAGAGATATATTCATCGAGGTTAAGTTAATGTAGGAGATTCTGTTTTCAATCACCAACCAAACTTTTTCCTATAATTAAAATTTGTAAGGTTTTGTAAAATATTTATAACGTAAATTTTTTATTTTCTCGTAGTGAATAACAGAATGCAATTGCAATCTTTATGTCTAGCTTGCCGCTAGGTCGAACAATGTAGAAACTAGATTAATACTTACACTAAGTAAATAGTAAGTCAGATAAAAGGAAGAATCCTTGAGCATCCGTTGTCGATTTTAGAAGAAGAAATAAATCTACATCTAATAATCTTAAGCATCTGCAACGGAATACCCTATCGCGGCTAATAGTAACTTTTTTCCGTACATGGGAATTAAAAATTGCTAGTAACAAGATACCTCTGATTTCACATTTATAATGAAATCAAATACACAAGTTGCACTTCGCAGAAACTTTGAAAAGGTAGATGATACACAAACAAGAATTACATTCACTCCAGCTTAATGGCAAATCATCAGCAAAGATTAAAATTGATTGCATTCATTAGGATAAAATTTGAAATTCACACATTACGTACGTACGTTTACTTTACGAAATTCTAAGAAAAGTTTGGTACATTCGAGAACAGAATCCCCTTAAACATTAACTTAACTTTGATGTTAAACGTTATCAACGCTACGCTAGGGTCGTTCACGGATCTGTAAACGCTAACGCTATCAATACACTACCTTGGAAGAAATAGCGTTGATAGCGCATAATTGTAACACGCTATTATTAGTGACGTCACGATCGTATTTGTTAGCACTATCTGCAATTCCGCGAACAATTTGTAGTGCTAAATAGTGTCAATAGTAGTGCCTCCCCGAACGCTGTATCAATCGTGTTGACTACTATTGACTGCGATATACATAACCTAATTTATTCTTTTTTTTATTGCTGATTCAGATAGAAAATTCGATGCAATCAGAATAATCTAATAACTGTTTAATTCGGTGTATTAATTGCAAATGATACATGAAAAATACAAACAATATATCGAATCTGTTCAAATGTCACGCTTCTTGCCCTTTTTCATGTATAAAATTGTCGCTCTAATAAGGTTCGCGTCGCATGTTCTAACACGCTCCAATATATTCTTGCTATAGCTTCTATTCACTTCAATGAGCGCGTTAGAGTGAGTATATGCTACAGTAGGAGCATTTTAGAGCATGTAGAGCATGTAGCTACAGCTAATCTGAAGCTTGCATTTCGAAATCAATTCATTTGTTGGTTGTCGCAACAAACTTACGATCGGCTTGCAACTAACTGTAGAACCGGCTTTAGAGCATGCGACGCGACAAACCTATAGTTTTGCGACAAAAGTCGTTACGTGATCTTTTTTGTCGCTGGAATGACCAGTTTGAACAATTCATGAAAATGCATCTTGACGCTGCTATGTAAAGATACCTTTATTTCTTCCTTTCTTTCATTTTCCTTTTCTCGTATGGTTAGCTTTATTTGAGTTGGTGAGATGTCATATTTGTTAATCCGTTGTTCTCTTTCGACATCGTAATATATATTAAGTGTTTCTATGCATGCTGAATTCTTTTAAACTATTCTCGACACATTGATTTATATATTTCTAACATATTTCTTTATACAAATTTAATTTAATTTGCAGGTTAAAATGGGCCGCCGACCAGCAAGGTGGTACGTAATGGAATTTTTAATTGAATTTATCAATTTTAAATATATATCTTGTCAATAAATTTTGTAACATTTTTTTTCGACATTATTTTGATATAAAGGACACTCATGAATGTTATATTCCCTGTATCATAGAATTAAATGTTTTTGAACAGTCATTCATATTTTAAATAAAAATTGCAATTATGTTACACAATAAAAATGCATTGTAATTCTAATTTAATATTACAATTTTATTAATACAAATTCTCAATATTGAAATTTAATGTTGAAGAATATCAAAATGTGTAATAAAGAATATTGTTACATTTGAGAATTTTTTATTTTTAGTTATCGGTATTGCAAAAATAAGCCATACCCGAAATCTAGATTCTGTCGTGGTGTGCCGGACCCAAAAATACGCATTTTCGATCTTGGAAAGAAAAAAGCATCTGTCGAGGACTTTCCATTGTGCGTGCACTTAGTATCAGATGAATATGAACAACTCAGTTCCGAGGCCTTAGAAGCTGGACGTATTTGTGCTAACAAATACATGGTAAAGAATGCTGGAAAAGATCAATTTCATATTCGTATGAGACTCCATCCGTTCCATGTCATCCGTATCAATAAAATGTTATCGTGTGCTGGAGCTGATAGGTATGTAACTCCATTATATAAGACAATAGAATTTTTACTTAGAAATGTAGGTTTTTGAAAGGAGAGTACAACTTTTTTTATGTTCTGGAAATGTTTTATTTCTGCATTTTCTATTTTTTAAAATGAAAACTGAAAATTAATATAATTATGTCACATTTAAGGAAAAAATTGATATATTGAAATAATGTTAATAATATTCTTAATTACATTATAAAATCATCAATTTTTTATGTTTATTTATTTAAAAAAAAATTGGATCAACACACAACTTTGAATTTTTAAATGTTTGAA